GGGCGCCCACGTGGCTACCTTCCCGGCACTTGAGCGATGGCTGCTGGGTTGGGAGCAGGCGTGGTTCTTTTAAGTCCTTGTATTTAAAAATCATTGTTCTCTGTTTGAATGTTTTAGAAGGACTTCTTTGAACCTTCAATTTATATGCAAAGTCCTACCCAGCAAAACAATCTTAATTCACTTTGTGCTTGGCTTAGGGCAAACAGAGAGGTGCAGAGGGAAGCCGTTTATGTTGACGTTTATTTAGTGCATGAATTCTAAAGTCCAGGAAATTATTAAGTCATTTTCTTACTGCCTGGTATTTATATATCATTTGGAACCATGATTTTTCATCTGCTTGCTCTAGTTGCACTGCCTTCAATGAGCAGGGGCCATTGATTTATTTACGTGACAATTTCTACCTTTGTCCAGTTGTCTCCCTGTGGAGTCATGATAGTCAGAAGGAAATAACATTGCATTCATTTTGCTCTACCCTAAGCCATTCTGTTTCTGTGCAACTAGTCCTTCTTAAAAGTCCTAGTAGCCTAAATGTAAGATTCAGAGTGGGGAGGGGAGGAGGGGATGAAGGGAGAGCAGGGACAAGGGGAATAAATGAGAACCAAGACTTGTCATGTAGAGGTACAAGATCCCAACAATGAATGTAACTGTACTGTATCCCTAAAATGTACCAATAAACTCAATTAAAGCTGAAAAAAAAAAAAAAGAATCAGAGGGTCAGAGAAACCAGATTTTGTAGCTTTCTCTGTATTGTATAGATGCTAGCTTAATGTTGACAAAGAATCTGCTCTTGTGTTGCCCGACCCCATTTATAAGACATTAAGCCAGGTGTGGTGCACACCTGTAGTCCCAACACTCAAAAGGCCAAGGCAGGAGGATCGCTGTGAGTTTGAAGCCAGCCTGGGCTACATAGTGAGTTCACCACCAACCTGAACTGCATAGCAAGACCCTGTTTCAAAAAAAACAAAAAACAGGCAAACATTAAAAAAAAAGACATTAAGAGGATTAGAGCCAGATTTTTCTGCTGTTTGTTTTGCCTGTGCTTTTGGTTTTGGTGGTGGTTTTTCTTTGCTGTGTTTCTGGACAAGCGCTCACTTCTAGGGAGACACAGTCTGTGGAAGCAGGAGCGCATCTCACCTTTTGGCCTGTCTAGGTGGAAGCGCTGCAGGCTCAGCTGGAAGAGCAGACCAGGCTCTCCAGAGAACAAGTGGAAGGGCTCATGGAGGACAGGCGTATTCGCATCGAGGAGATAGAAGTTCAGCACCAGAGAAATCAGGACAAAGTCAAAGAGCTAACCAAGAGGTGAGTGTTCAAAAACGTGAACCCAGTATATTCACTTTTTCTGAGGGGCTCAGGCTGGAGCTGCAGCTCAGAGGTAGAGCACTTGCCTAATAAGTGCAAGGACCTGGGTTCCGCCTCCAGCACCATCAGAAGAAAAAAAAAAAAAGGAACAATTCTGTATGGCAGCAGCCAGAGATTGCAGAACTAAAAGGGACTTTGAAAAGCTTGTCTTCTTTAGACCTTCCTGCCTCCAGGGAGGTAAGTGAGTATCTAGGCTTTTCCAGGCACACTCTTAATTGGTTCACTCAATTCTTTTGAGGGACTAGTAAATATTCCATGTGCTCCTTTTAACCCATTTTAGTGTTTTAGCTTTGAGTTGTTAAAAAATGTTCTTTTAGCTGGGTGTGGTGGCACACGCCTATAATCCCACCACTCAGGAGGCTGAGGCAGGAGGATCGCTGTGAGTTCAAGACCAGCCTGGGCCACATAGTGAGACCCTGTCTCAAAAAACCAAAAAAAAAAAAAGTTCTTTTATCCACCAGTATTACCTGACTAAGTATAATACAGACCTTTTCCTTTGTTTGGAACCGTCATGATTTTATACCTATTAAAAAATACTATGTGCTGAGCATAGTGGCATGCACCTGTAGTCCCAGCTACTTAGGAGACTGAGGCAGGAAGATCACTTGAGGTCAGGAGTTTGAGGCTAGCCTGGACAACATAACAAGATTCCATTTCAAAAGAAAAAGTACATACTGCAAGCTCTGAGTAGTCAGCATTTCCTTTTCCTACTTGCCTTTCTGCAATCTAGTTTGTGCCACCCCCACCGCCATTTTACCATGCTTTTTCCAAGATCGTCATTGACTTCTTAATTTCTAAGACTAGTTATCCCTTCAGTCCTTACTGTATTTAGTATCTGTCTGTGTATTTGGTGTCACTCGATCAACTACTTATTGAAGGAAACTCACCTCCTCTGATTTCTGCAGCACCTGTCTGTCTCCCTTTTGTTTGATTCCAGTGGCCAGAGCTGTGCTGTGAAGAAACCCTCCATTGAGTGTTTTTGACACCTTAGCTTTACCGTTACTGCAGCCAAATTGCTTATCTCTTCATACCACTTGTCTCTTTTCATTCTACAGCCTTTCTCACTATTATATATTAGTTCCTCTCTTAGTGGTGATCAACTGCTTAAATATGTGATCACTTTATGATAAAGCCCTGATACTTTAGCATGAATTCTTAGAGACTTCATCATCTTGTCAGATGATGATTAACAAACTAATCTTTTAGCCTCAGCTCTTCTCCATTACATTTTTTTACTTTGCGCTTCAGCCAGACTAATAACTAGTATTTATGAAACATTTGCTTTAGAGCAGGCACCTTGATAAACAATATGATCCCTTCTCTGAAGACATAAAACCAAAAAGAAAATAACTCAGTGAAACAAAAAAACAAACAACGATTTACCTAGGCCAAATTAAATTCTTCCTCATCTATGTTCCCATAACGTTTGGTGAGCCTCTGTGGTAACCACTTAGCTCCACATATTATATTTATGTCTTTGTTTCCTGGGATTTTACCGTATAGCATTTACCCTGTCCTTTGTGCACAATTGTCACACAAAAAATGTGTGTTGAATATTTGGTGATATTTATCAAGTTGAACCATCTCTTTTCTGCATTAAACATTTTAAAAATTTCTCTTCCCCCCTCATTTTTATAGGGATCAAGTCCGAGCCTTCACACGTGCTAGGCAACTGTTCTACCTCTGAGCTATACCCCTAGCATATAAAATTTGTAATTTTATATGTTTCTGGAATAGTAATAACCATCCTAGTTTAGCATTATCTGCCTATCTGAGCATATGATCCCTTCCACCCATTGGGGAGATCATCTTAAGTATATTGAATAGCGTGAAATCCTAGGCCAGTGGTGTTGAACCTGTGGCACGTATGCTGCAGTGGGCTGTTTGTGTCATTGAAAGTTCTGAAGGTTCACTATCACTGTCCTAGGGCATTAATGACTGTCTTCTGGGTATCACTTTCAAATCACTGGTATATTAGCAAGCTTATATTTTGTCAGTTTCAAGTTGAGAACATAATGTAATGTAGAATAAAATTACTCACTGAAAGCAGAAGAGATCCTGTGGTAACTGACTCAGCCTTTCCTTCTTTCTTTACACACATACACATACCTGAATAAATATATATATTTACTTGGAACATCTGCTGTACCCTGTGCCTATCACTTTCCACTTATCTATGCATCCTGTTACCAATGAAAAGAACAAAGTGAATCAGACATTATTTTCAGTAGAAAATTATAGCCATTGCTTCATGATATTTAATATTCTTGCAGGCAGACAGATCATCAGTATACTATTTTTCTAAGTGTTTATGTTAAACTATTGAGTTGCTGGCTTCCAGGGATACTCTTTTTTAAAGATACAGACGTCATTTGTCTGTCCCTAAATCTCAGACAGTCATTATAAATCTATGTATGCTTGTATATGTCCTGTAGTTGATACTGTCCTTGACAGTCTGGTGATAGTGGGGCAAAGTATGTAATAAATAAGTTATGTGTTCCCACCCCACCTCGGAAAGCACATTAGACATATAAAATCTAACATAGTATATAAGCGAGTATGAAGGTGGATTGTCAACTTGATGGTTGTGGAATCACCTCGAGAGGATTAGTAAGCTCACTTCTGGGTATGTCTGGGTACACTGCAGAAGCATGAACTTGGGGCGTATATCTGGTCCCTGGCCCCTTTCTTTCTGGCACTGTTACCCTTCCTGCTTCCTGGCCATCATGAAATAAGCAGCTTTGCTCTCCCATACCCTTCCACCGTGATGATTCTACCTTGGAGCCAGCTTACCTGGGACTGGATCATCTGAAACCATCAGCTATACTAAACCATTTCCTCCCTTCATTTGATGGTGTCACAGCAATGGGAAAAGCTGAACAATACTGAAAATTGGTACTGGAGAAGTAGGGCTATTGCTGTATCTATTCCTGATCCTATGGTTCAGAAGCCTTTATGACTGGCTTGTAGGAAGAATTTGGAAAGCTTCGGCAATACTAGCTAAAGAAGCCCTAGAATGCTGTAAGCAGACCACCTGGTTAGAGCTCAGAAGACAAGAGTGCTGTTAGGAATGTGTATAGTAAAGGCCAAGATGAGGTTTCAGTTGGGAACAAGGATTTTATTGGGAATTAGACTAGAAGCCCCGTGTGTTTCATTCAGGCAAAAACGTTTGTCTGTGTTTTGTGCATGCCCTAAGACTTTGTGTGAAGCTGACTTTCAAGGTGATATACTCTCAGGCGTGAAGGCACAAGCTGGTAATCCAGACAATAGAAGGCTGAGACAAGAGGATTGCAAGTTTGAGTCCTGCTTCAGCAATTTAGCAAGACCCAGTCTTTAAAAAAAAAAAAAAAAAACCTAGGGGGGAAGGGGCCGGGGATACTGATAAGCATGAAGGCCCCATGTTCAGTCCCCAGTTCTCAACACCAACACACCCACACACACACACACACACACACACACACACACACGCACACAAAAGGCTCAGCGTGAAGGTCCTGGGTTCAATCCTCAGTACCTGCACTCCCAACACAATGACAGACTAATTCATCTGGCAGAGGAAATTTCAAGGCAGCCCAGGATTTAAGCTATGGCATGAATACTGCTAGATGCTTTTTTTTTTTTTTTTTTTTTTTTTAGACAGGGTCTCATTATGTAGTTGAAACTGACCTGGAACTCACTTTGTAGCCCAGGTTGGTCTTGAAATCACAGCAGTCCTCCTGCCTCAGCCTCCTGAATGCTGGGATTACAGGTGTGTACCACCACGCCCGGCATGTTAAATTGAGGGTTGTTTTTTGTTTTTTTGTTTTTTTTAATACCAGGGATCAAACTCAATTCCTTGCGCTTGCGAGGCAGGCAGTGGAACCACTGAGCTAAATCCCCGGCCCCTGCTGGATGCTTTTAGCCAGAATTACAGTAAGAATAAAGAGCAAAAGCACAATTGAAAAATTTAAATGTTGACCAGAAAAGGAATACATGTAAAGTTGAGGCCACAGGAGGTAAGGTTGCTGAAGAGATGCTATTGCTATCAAAAAGACACCAAGTATTTTGAGCCAGGACCAGAAGAATGATGCATTGAGAGCATCTCCAGAAGCAGTAAGACTTCACCCATCACAGGTCCAAGGGTACAAAAAGTCTAAACTTTTCATGTGAGAAAAGAGCCCCTGAACCTCCTTCTCAAGAGAGACCTCCCAGGGAATTGGTTGGCCAGGATTCATTTCACTGTGCTTAGCCATCCGGGTACTCAGAGGCCACTATAGTCATGGTCCAAGGGGACCTGGTTACTGCTCGAGCTGGCAGCAGACCTTGGTGTTGTCCACATGATGCTGATTACTCAGGCATGCAGATGTGAGTTGTGGAGCCATGAAGGCTTCCACACAGATAACAAGGGAAGACCTGGAAGGCCAGTCCATATGCCACGAGAAGGATGCATGAAGCTGTAAGAATGGGGTGCATAGACCCCAGGAAGTCATCAAGGCTGTAGGGGGAGGGCTACTAAAGCCTGCTAAAACTCAGATCTTACCACCAGTGCTGTGCATACCAGACTTAAAGCTACTGGATTTATTGTTTTCTCTGTTCAGTTTAGGTCTTGCTTTGGTTCTCTTATTTCCTAATCTATCCTTCTGAAATGGTAATGTTTACTCTGTACTATTGTGTATTGGCAATATATAGCTTGCATTTTGAATTTTCAGAGACTTACAGCTAGGAGTTTGCCTTGAATGTCAGAGGAGATTTTGGACTTGGACATTTGAGCAGTGCTGGAACTGTTAAGACTTTGAGGGGGCATTAGTACATTTCTGCTTGGGACAGTCATATCATGTTAGGCGGAATTATGATGTGTTTATTTTTGGATGTAGGTGGAACAGTTATGTTGTGTTAGGCAGAATTGTGACCTGTGTTTATTTGGAGATTAAGTGTAATTTAAAGAGATGTGTTTGGGTGTGAAGTTAACAAGGGTGCAGTGTGATGGTTAAACTGGATTGTCAGTTTAATTGGCTTCAGCCGGTTATGGTGGTGCACATCCATAATCCCAGCACTTGGGAGGCAGAAGCAAGAGGATCCTGGGTTTAGGACCAATCTGGGCTACACAGTGAGTTCAAGCCCAACCTGAATTATATAGCAAGCCCTTGTCCTAAAAAACAAAACAAACATTGCCTTCAGAGCCACCTAGGGGAATAAAGCACATTTGTGAGTGTGTGTAGATGGGCCATGGAGGGATGTCCATGGGTACTATATCTGATTGCTGGCCCCTTCCTCACTGGCGCTGTTCTGCTGCTTTGTTTCCTGGCCATCATGAAGTGAGCAGCCTTGCTTCACCACATCCTTTTGCCATGATGTTCTTGCTTTGGAGCCAGCTGACTATGGAGTAAATCCTCTGAAACCATGGGCTCAGTAAACCATCTCTTCCTTTAGGTTGATGATGTCAGGCAATTGGTCACAGTGACAGAAAGCTAAATAGTACATAAGGCGAGGTATATATTTAAACTGATAAGGAATTGTAGAGAATAGAGAATTAAAATAGTCTAAAAGGATTGAGATTACTTCATAGAGGAAATCTGGGAAAAAAAGACGAAGCTTTTGATATAAGGCAGTCACCCTTGAGAACAGTAAAAACAAAGCAAAGCTGTCTTTGTTATTTTAGAACTTCTGTTAACACTTACTTAGAACATCATTCCTGGGAATAGTCCATATTTAGCAGGGTATCTATAAATATGTCTGTCACCCCTCTAATCATATAACATAAATTGGCACACAGGGAGAGAGTAATCTGTGAACCAGGGAGCATGGGTGGATACATTACACTTTGCCTACTAAACCATATAAGATTGCTAGTTTTCAGACCAATAAAACTTCTAATATTTTACAAAATTCTTACATTGCTCTTTTTGTTTGTTTGTTTTGGTGGTACTGGGGATTGAACCCAGAGCCTTTACGCTGAGCTACAGCTACAGCTCCCCCTTTTTAAAAATTTTTGAAACAGAGTCTTGTTAAGTTACTCTATTGTTACGACTGGACTTCTGATCCTCCTACTTCAGCCCCAACCTGGCTAGTGTTCAATTTTAAAAGAATATGTATCTTCCCTTATGGAATAACTATTTCAGATATGCTGTGTAAGAATCATGTCTTTATCTGTCCTTTTATAGTCTCCATCATACCCAGGAACTGCTGTATGAGAACATCAAAGACTTTCTGCAACTGAGATTTGAAAACCAAAATAAAGAGAAGACATGGATGCTTGAAAAGGATCATTTGATGTTAAAGATTAAGCAATATCGGGAGCAGTCTAAGAAAAAAGAAGATAAAATTGGAAGAGTTTTCCCAATTTCACATGACAGTCATCATGCCCAAAATGAATATATTAAGGTAATGTGCTTATGCATTACAGAAATTGTTTATTTTTCTAGAGGAATTGAAAGAACTAGGGCCAGGATTTAGCTCAGTGGTGCCGCCGCCTGCCTCGCAAGTGGAAAGTCCCAAGTTTGATCCCTGGTACAAAAAAAACCCTCAGAGAATTCCAGAGAATTTTCGGATTATCATGTAAGATCCATTCAGTGTAGGAAGCTGGGGTAGCAGCAGCCTCATGAAACAGGTCTCAAAGAGTCATTGATCATTATGGTATTTGGAGATTAAAATACTAGACTGCTGAGTATCATTCAACAAATAGACTAGACCATGGGGCTGCAGCAGTACATAAACTAGATAAGGCCTGTGCTGATTGTGTTCACATTTTAATGGGTGAGGAAAAAATAGGAACATTAACAAATAACCAAGAAAACTAAAAATGATGTTAAAGGAGTAAGAGAATTGCATGAAGATCATATATAGTTGCTGGAAACCCACTTGAGAAGGGTAGATAGGGACAGGGTCTTGCTGCATAGCCCATACTGGCCTTGAAATGATCTGTGTGGCCCATGCTGGCCTTGACCTCAGTGATCTCCTGCCGCATCCTCCCAAGTGCTGGGCTTAGAGGAGTGCGCCACCATTCACAGCTAAGGTACACTCTCATATGCCTGGTGATTCTGCTGAGACCTGCAATATAAGACTAAGTGTGCCATATTGACCTGGAAGAGGGCATTTCCAGCAGAGGGAGAAACAAAGTTAAAGGCCTTGGAGCTTACTCAAGGGAAAGGAGGCCTATCCATGTGAGTGGACTCACTAAGGGGGAAGGGAAGTGCGAGAGGCATATGAAGCATAGGCAGCAGCCAGCCAGAAAGGGCCTCAGCCCTCACGGTCAGGAACATAACCTAGTTCCAAACATTGTGTCTTCAAGGGATTGTGTGTTAGGAAGAAACATCCTATTTAAGATTTTCTTGTTTTTACCCAAGCATGGTGGTACACGGCTGTAATCCCAGCAGTAGAGAGGCCAAGGCAGGAGGATCACTGTGAATTTGAGGCCAGTTTGGGCTACTTAGTCCAAGGACAGCCTGAACTACATGGCAAGACCCTGTCTCAAAAAATAAGTTTGTTTTTTTGTATTTATGTATTTGTTTGCAGTACTGGGCATTCAACCCAGGGATACTCTACCCCTGGGAGTTACATTCCCACCCTTTTTTATATTTTATTTTAAGACACAGTCTTCCTAAGTTGCCCATGCCGGGCTCAAACTTCCCATTCTTCTGCCCTTGCCTCCTAAGTCACACTTGTCTCTGACGTAAGGGTTTTTGTTTTATTTTGTTTTGTTTGTTTGGTTTTGGATTTTTGAGATATGGTCTCACTGTGTAGTTCAGGCCAAACAGAATAGCAGAAGGGTGTGCTAAAGGAGATCTGTTCATTGCATGGCAGTCACTGATGCTCCTGCCTCAGCCTCCCCAGTGCAAAGATGTTAGATGTGCCCCACCATACCCAGCTTTAATTTTTAAAAGATTATCTTGTCTGCTTAGTGGAATCTGTATAGAAAGTATTGATTTTTTTTTCCTTTGTAAAGAACTTTCTCACTAAGCGTGGTGACACACGATTGTAGTCTCAGCACTTGGGAGGTTGACGCAGACGGACCACCATGAGTTCAGTGAGAGCCTGGGCTACATAGTGAGCTCAAGATCAGCTTGAACTACATAGCAAGACCCTGTCTAAAAAAACCAAAAAAAAACAAAAAAAACTTAAGAAATGTGGCCCCAAACATATATTGTAATATCTTACTTGAGATAAATTATTATTATTTTTTTTTATTTTTTTGGTAATTCTGAACAAATTTAATGAGAAAGTCATGACAGGCCTGAGGGAGCTGGACACTTGGGCCACTGAGAAATGGAGTGAAGAAAGGTTGCTGAGTATTCCTAGTTGTCACTTTGGGACGAAATTGGGCATGTTCAGGGTGGGATGGCCGTAGGCTCAGTTGTTGCCTTCAGATGGCAGAGTCATTCACTGATGTTACATCGTGCAGCTGGTGGCAGATAGCAAGTCGAACTTTGCTGCTGAAGAAGGCACTGGCCCCCTGGGAAGGAAGCCCTCTCTCAACCACAATGGGGACCATAGCTGGGCTGGGATCTGGAGGGGCAGCAGGATTCAGGCCTGCTCCTCTTTCAGTCCCCCAATATCTGCAACATCCACACCGTGGGAAACATCAGGCCCCCTTCAAACCCATCTTGAGAAAACTTGGAAAACAGGAGAGACCCAGGAAGAGTGTGTTTTCTAAGTCCCCTCCAAGTGTGGGCAAACTACCCACTTGAGATAAATTCTGAACTCTATTATGCGACTCTTCCAGAGCCAAAAATTTAAAGAATTTCTATCATGTACATTTTAGAAAAGGGGCTAAGAGAATAGTCTAGAAATAGGAAGTTTCTAGATGTTCTCCAAAGTACCTTGCCATCTTCATTTTATACTTGTGGAAACCCTTTTTATCTGTTTTTCTTTTAGCACCTACTTTAGAGCTATTTGAATAACCTAAAGTGTAAAACTGGGAATTAACATTTCTTTGTCCTTTTGGCCTGCAGTCCCTAAAGGATAAGTTAATACAAGAGAAGAAGCTGTCCAACATGTACCAAGAGCAGTGCATTTCCTTAGAAGAGGAACTTGCCCGAATTCGGGAGGAGGAGGGAGTACGGAGAGAGATCTTCAAGGTACAAAATTCTTTGCATTGATGATGGAGGTGGAAGTACAGGCAGCTGGGGAAATGCTTCCCCCTTCACAAATGCCTTGTCATCCATATTTAGGATCGCTCTAACAAGATGGGGAAGCGTTTACAGATAATGACAAAACGCTATGAGGCCTTGGAGCATCGACGTAGCTTGGAAGTAGAAGGCTTTAAGACAGACATTAAAGTTCTTCGACAGAAACTGAAAGATTTAGAGCAAATGCTGTACAAGGTAATTGCTGGTCTTGAATTACTTCAGGGAGAAAGGGGTGGAAGTGTGGAGATACTGATAACTCGAGGCCCTGGTTGTTCCCCAGCACCACCACACAAGAAGGATGGACCGTTTCCCTGGTGGTAGACTGATGGGTTGCCATCTGTGTTACTCAACTTTCCAGCACTGTGATCAGATATCTGACACAAACAGTTTAAAGCAAGAGAGGTTTTTTTTTTTTTTCAGCTTTAATTGAGTTTATTGGTACATTTTAGGGATACAGTACAGTTACATTCATTGTTGAGGTCTTGTACCTCTACATGACAAGTCTTGATTCTCATTTTTTCCCCTTACCCCTGCCCTCCCTTCACCCCCTCCTCCCCTCCCCATCTACAAACACTTTATTTTCATCTTTTCATTATCTCACATTTTTTTCTTTTCCCTTAGTACCCTTCCCCTACCCATCCCACCTTCCCTACACCTTTAAGGAGAGGTTTATTTTGACTTAAGGTTTAAGAGATTTCTGTCCATGGTCAGCTGGTGTCAAGGCCTAAATATAGTGGCAGAAGGGTCTGGTGAAGGAGATCTGTTCTTCACATCGCATCCAGGAAGCAGGGCAAGGAAGGGTTAGAGAGGAAGTCAGGGGCAAGATAGAGTCCCCAAGTCATGCCCCCCGTGACTCACTCCCTATAACCAGGCTCCACCTCCTAATTGTGTCACCTCCTAATAATGCCATCAAACTGTGGGTCAATCCACAGATAAACTTAGCGCCCTTGTGATCTGGTCACTTTGCAAAAGCTCACCAGCAACCAAGTCTTCAACGCCATGAGCCTTGGGGGTCACACATTATCTCTAAACCATGACATTGTCCTTCAAGCCTCCCCAAAAATCAGTCCAGTTAGTGCACATTAGATGGGGGGAAACCCTGAAATAACAGAAGGGCTGCATCAATACCGTCTGTCGTCTTTCCCAGCTTAAGGAGTAGATTGAAGAAGTATCTGTTTCTTATAATTGAGGAAAGTAATTGAATAATAAAGTAGTTTTTCCAAGTCTCAGTTCTTAGAATAAGGTTAAGAAGAGGTGGTACATTCATTCTTTGGCAAATTTACCAATAATGTTTATATTGTTCTGTTGTTTTTGCACAGAGTTGGTTATTGATCTCTACTCAGAACTTCCTTACTATTGTATGGGAAAGCAGAGTTTCTTGCCTTTTCTGGATCAATTTTAATCATTAAATAAACCAAGGATTGAATTTATTGTATGTACTAAGAATCCCTTAAAAAGGAGCCAGCCACACAAAGTTCCGAGTTTGATCCCTGGTACAAAAAAAAAAATAAATAAAATAAAATAAAATAAAATAGGAGCCAGCCAGCATAGCCTGGTCTTTATGACTGGTTTCTCTCCCCTGGCTTATTCTATAATCATTCTCTCGTTTTGTTAAATCTCTAGGCAACAGTGGATGCTCAGGCAAACCAGGACCTTGCCATTCTGTGTGAGGTCCGCAACAGCAATAGACGGGCGCATAAGATACAAGGAGAACTGAAGAACCTCAAGTCCAAAGTGTTTGGTCTGGAGAATGAACTTAGGCTCTGTTGATACGTACTTTCAGAAGAAGGGTCATCTTCTCTCAGAAGTGTGGACCTGAAATTGATCAGAGTAGTTGTATCCATTTTTATAAAGACAGTGAAGAATCAGGGTGCAAAGAAAGCCTTCCTTGCATGCCAAGCTTCTTTTGGAATTGTCACTGTCCTGTTAACCTTCCTGGGGCATAGAGATAAATTACCTTGAGGCTTTCTTATATTATTTCTCTCATTTGTATTGACTAGTATTTGCTTTTTCTAAGAAGGCAGTGATTGAAACTCAGAAAGACAGTTTTTGCTATGATTTTCGCTGTCAGTTGGAGGAACACTTCCTACAGGATTAAAGCCCTCATTGAAGGTGCCTTCCTAGGCAGTGAAAGCTGTTGCTGCTGCTGCTGCTGCTGCTGCTGCTGCTGCCACTCCTCAAATCTGCAATGGTTCAGCTCTGTAACTTTCTTCAGTCAAAGCCTGTGCTGAGTTACCACCAGAGGGCAGTAGAGATTCTACCCCTGCCAAGTGTTAATCTGCAAACTAGAGGCGCTGCTGTGGCAAGAGAGGGTGAAGCTGAAATGATCCTTGTATGAAAAATTGGACACTTTTGCAGTAACATGTTTTTATGTAATGTATTTCAAATGAACTATTTTCAATAAAATATATAGTTTTAAAGATTTGCATTATCTATGTCTTGTTAAAACCTTGTTCTTGGGTTGGGGATTTAGCTCAGTGGTTTTGATGCCTGCCTTGCAAGCGTGAGGACCCAAGTTTGATCTCCGGTACCAAAAATAAAATAAAACCTTGCTCTTACATTGTTGATAACTTATATCTCAGATTAATTGCTTGTTCCATAATCCCTACAGTTTCTACAACTGTACATGTTTTCTGAATGAATCCCTTGAAATCATCTGGTGTTGGAGATAGCATGAATAGTACAAGGGTAGGTGATGACAGTAAAATTGTCCCCATTTTTAGCCAAATTGCTACCTATGTTAGGGGTAAATGTCATGGTATGTGGGTTAAATATTAATTTAAAAAAGGACAATACACAAATAGCATAGTCTGGCCTATATTGAACATTTCAATATAGTTAAGCATTTTATGTATTTTGGCTTCAGTTGAGTTCTTTCCTTGTACTAGGGATGGAGCTCAAAGCCAGGAAAGTGTTGTACCACTAAGCTATACCTTAGCCCACAGTTGATTCTTATCAATTGCTTACCATTCTCAGATTCTAAGATGTATTTGACTAATACCATTTATTCCTTCATTCAAAAATTTGTCCTTTTGTTTGGTACTGGAAATATGATAGATCTTATCTGTAAAAACATTAAAACAGTTTTGTACTCCAAAGGTCAATGGGAAAGATAAACAGAAAAGAAACTCAATTCAGTAATGAACTGCCCTGCTGTGGGTGCACAGGATAGAAGCAACAGAGAAGAGGAATTAAGGAAGTGTGTTTTAGCTCAATCTATTTGAGATAGGATTCACTATGTAGTCCAGGTTGGCCTCGAATTCACTATATTGCCCAAGCTAGCTTCAAACTTACTGTGATTCTCCTGCCTCGGCCTTCTGAGTGTTGAGATACAGGTGTGCATCACTGTACCTTTCTCTGAGCTGAATCTTAAAAATAAGTTTAGGGCCAAAAGGGAGGCTGAGCATTCCAGGTAGAGGGACACTGGAAGCAGGGAAGACTAGAATGGAGTCATCCAGGCTGGGGATTTAGCTCAGTGGTTCTGCCTGCCTTGCAAGCGTGAGATCCCAGGTTCAATCCCTGGTACCAAAAAAACAAAACAAAAAATAGAATGGAGTCATGCAAGCACAAGAGACAAAGTTATAGGATACAAGAAATGGAATGAAATGTCATTTAATACAATAATACAGATTTTAAATATTTCAGGAGTGGGGCATGGTAGTGCATGCTTGTTTGTTGCCTCAGCACTTTGGAAGGTGCAGGCAGGAAGATACGCCTGACTCTAGACTGGGCAACTTGGGTGGGGGTGTACTCAAATTCAGAGGCCCCGGGTTCAATCTTCAGTCCTTCCAAAAAAAAAAAAAAAGTTGAACTTTTGAATCAATTAGAAACATTTGGATTTACTTTAAAATTTTGAGAATAGCCTTGGTGGCACACCTGTAACCACAACTGCTGTAGGCTGACATAGGAGAATCTTAGGTTTGAGGCTAGCCTGGGCAACGTACTGAGAGGCCTGATGCCAAGAAAAAAAATCAAAATCAGAATAAACAATTTGTGTATGAAAAAACTTGAAATGCAGATTCACTTTCTTAAAAATTAGAGGTAAAGCTGCATGTGGAAGCATACACCTGCAATTCCAGCGCTGAGAAGGCTGAGGTGAGCGGATTGGAAGTTTAAACCCAGCCTGGGTGACTTAACAACTTAGTGGGACCCTGTCTCAAAATTAAAAAACAAAACAAAACAAATGTAGTTAGTGTTAAGACACTGGGTTGAATTCCTGTATTACAAAAAAGCACAAGGGGGGTGGGTAAAAAAGAAACATCATGCAATAACAAAATACATGAAATGTGTGTTTCCTGGGAAGTCTTTGTATTGTAGACCAGAATAATGTAGAATCACTAAATAGTAGAATTTATTGCAGTATCTGCAGAATAAAAGTGTAGTGGAAAAGATCTTTTGAAAAGAGCCATCAATGTTGTCTGTTTTGCCTTTTAGATTTTCTCTTTTGGTCCAGGGATTTATCTCAGTGGTTCCGCCGCCTGCCTTGCGAGGACAAGGTCCAGAATTCAATCCCTGGTACAAAAAAAAAATCTCTTTTATCAGATTATAATAATTACTTTCAAAACCTGTACTCTAATAAATGGAGGAATTCAGAAGAAATGGATAGATTCCTAGATACATATGAATTTCCAAAACTGAACCAAAAAGATGTAAAAACCCTGAACAATCAAATAACAGGCAATAAAATTGAGGCACTAATAAAAAAACTACTAAGTAAGAAAAGCACAGGTTCCAATGGATTCACTACCAAATTCTACAAGAACTTTAAGAAAGATCTAATCCCAATACTCCTTAAACTCTTTAATGAAATTCAAAGGGAAAGAGTACTCCTAAAGTCATTCCTGGAAGCTGGCATTGCCCTGATTCCAAAATGAGAAAAAGATCCAATGAAAAAAAAGAGAAATACAGAGAAATCTCTAGTGAACATAGACAGAAAAACCCTCAACAAGATAATGCAAAACAGAATGCAACAAATCTAAAAGATCATACATCATGACCAAATAGGATTCATCCCAGGGATGAAGGGATGGTTCAACATTAGCAAATCAGTATAGTACATCACATCACATCAGCAGAAGCAAGGTCAAAAATCACGATTGTCTTAATTGACACCGAAAAAGCCTTTGACAAAATCCAACATCCATTCATGTTAAAACAAAATGGGGGCCAGGGATATAGCTCAGTGGCGCCTCCTGCCTTGCAAACGCACAAGATCCCGAGTTTGATTTCTGGCACAAAAAAATAAAACAGAACAAAAAGACCCTTAAGTCGAATGTGGTGGTGCACACATGTAATCCCAGCACTTGGGAGGCTGAGGCAAGAGGATTGCTGTGAGTTTGAGGCCATCCTGAACTACATAGCAAGACCATCTCAAAATAAAATGAAAACCTTAAGAAAAAAGGCATAAGAAGACCTTATCTCAATCTGGTAAGAGTCACACACACACACACACACACACACACACACACACACACACACACACAAACTAAAATAATAACAAACCAGCCAACATCACATTAAATGGGGTGAAGCTGAAAGTTTTCCCTGTACAATTCGGAACAAGACAAGAATTCCACCATCCCTACTCTTACGCAAAATAGTTCTCAAAACATTATAGGAATCAGGCAAGGGAAAGAACTAAAAGGGGTATATGTAGGAAAGGAGGAAGTCAAATTATTATTTGCAGATAACATGATCCTCTATGTAGAAGACCCAAAAAAAAGGTCACCGAAAGACTCCTAGAATTAATAATCAAATTCAGCCCAGGCATGGTGGTGTAATCTCAGCACTTGGGAGGCTGAGGCAGGATTACTGTGAGTTTGAGGCCAGCCTAGGCTACAGAGTGAGTTCAAGGCCATCGTGAACTATGCAGAGGCACCCTGTCTCAAAAACAACAACAGGGGGCTGGGGAATTAGCTCAGTGGTTCCAGCACCTGCCTCACAAGCACAAGGACCTGAGTTCAATCTCTGGTACCAAACAAACAAACAAACAAACAAAAAACAGGGCCGGGGATTTAGCTCAGCGGTTCCACAGTGCCTGCCTCACAAGCACATGGTCCCAAGTTCAATCCCTGGTACCAAAACAAACAACAGCAACAAAAACCAAATCAAACAAACAAACCATTCAGTAGAGCAGCAAGTACAAAGTCAACACACAAAAATTAATAGCATCCCTATGCACCAATAATAATTCACTGGGGAAGAAATTAGGGAAATATCATTCACAATAACCTCAAGAAAAATTAAATACTTAGGAATTTATTCTAACCAAGGAAGTGAAAGACCTCTATAATGAAAATTATAATACAGTGAAAAAGGAGATTGAAGAGGACATCAGAAAATGAAAAGATGCCCCTTGCTCCTGGCTAGGCAGAACCAATATAGTCAATAGTGCCATAGTCCACAATTGATACACAGATTTAACATAATCTCAATAAAAACACCAATGGCACTCTTCACAGAAATAGAGAAAACAATCCTACAGTTTGTATGGAACCAGAAGAGACCTAGAATAGAAAAAGTAATCCTAAGCAACAAGAGCAAAGTAGGAAGTATTACAATCCCAGGCTTCAAGTTATACTACAAAGCTACAGTGATAAAAATATCATGTTTGGGGCTGGGGATTTAGCTCAGTGGTTCTACTGCCTGCCCTGCAAGTGCAAGGACCCGAGTTCAATCCCCGGTACCAAAAAAAGAAAAAAAAACATCCTAGAAAAATTTTTTCCTTTATATATATTTAAAAATA